CTTTGATAAGTGCCTTGCTGACTAGCTGCCAGCTATTATTAGCTTGTGGCCACATGTGCAAGCTAGAGCAGAGCTACAAGGTAATTAGCGCAACAGATTGTGAAGTATTACACAGCTGTTTACACAGCAGGTCACCATTCACTTAAACTCTAACTTGTTTTTAGTTGCTAAACAGATATCAACCCATTCCAGCTAATAAACATGATAAAATTAGGCTGAAAAATCTTATCGGCTGTTTCTTGGCAACACTAGATGCTAGCTGTTTACTACGTGAAGGATTCACTCTGCAGTTTGTACAGCCTCTTCTCCTCCAGGCACTAAATAAAAAGGAGATCTTTACTCTTTAAAACTGGGTAAGTACGGTATAATTTAAAATAGTTTATTGTTGGTAAAGAACATGAAAAATCCAAATCATTCACTCATTCAAAGACTTTTCCTGGATCAGTCATACAAATATTTTTATAGTCAAACTAGTTAAGAGTCTAAAATCTCAATTAAGATTACACCAAAGTACTTATTTTTAAAGTGCTGATGGTAAACAGTTGCCCCCAAAAGAAGTAAAACATAAACCCCAACATATGGCAAGGTCTGACAGACAGTTCGACTCGAGAACTTTTTAAAATCTTCAGCGCTTTGTAAGCATGTATAATTTGATGATACAGCATGCAATGGTAACAGTAATGATCATATTTACCTCTAATTTTATGACACACTGAGTTGAAACTGATTTTCTCTGAAAACACACTACACAAAGAAACACAACATTGCGTGTCAACAGGAACGGGCTTTATCCACTGAAAAGATGTCACCTTTTGATGATGTGCCTTACGCTGTATTTGATCTGTAAGCCGGGGCTTACTCTTCGGTCCTGAGTCCTGACGTCTGCTTGGAGGTACAGTCACTCCTGACATTTGGCCATGTTTGCTGGCATCACAAGCCAACCGTGATGGGGTTAGCAGCTTGCACTGGAAGCGTTTGCTTGTTTAAAGTAAACACTTGATGATTTAATAGCTATCTGTGGCAGCAGGGAAGTGTTGCTTCTCACAGAAGGGCAGCCAGATTAGCAAGACGTTTAGAAGAGGTTCGAGCGTTTAGAAGAGGGTTGTGAAGTAGTGGGAAAAGTATCTACATGTTTTCTTTCATAAAGGCTCAAGGCTCATTAACTAGTAATGTTATATATTTGAAGTCACACAGATGTAAATAATATGAAATAAGAAATTTGAGTTTTCAAGTCTATAGTTCTCTAGCTATTTGCATTATAGTAATTCTGCTATGGTTTTCCAGACTGTTAACACTAGTGAGTAAAGATGAGTCCGATGCTGAGAGAAAGCAAGAAAAGAAGGGAGTAGACAGAAGCTCAGCAGATGTTCACTGAGTCCTTGATTTTACTGAGGAGGCAAATAAGAAACATATCAGTGATAAACCTACAAGATAGAGACTGAACTGTTGCTGAACTGGGCTGATCTTGTGCAAGAATCTTGGACTGACTACTGGCTCCACTCCATCCCTCCACAAATTTAAAAATATTAAATCTCAAGAGTCCCATCTCCTGGTTAAATAAACGTTAAGAGCTGAAAAACAAAATATGAATACAGAGGAATCTTCACCAAAAACAGAACTGTTAGAACAACTTAATTATAATTGTATTATGTCAACTAGAACACATGATTTAATTACGTTTTTTTTTTTAATTAACTCTGTCAGATCAGCCCAGCAGATTTCAGTTACACACAATGCACAAGTGTGCTTTCACTTAAATAAAAACAGCAACAAAATTAGAGTAATTTCAAGTTATAGATAGAAACCCAGCAAATACACCACCATCACCAAAGCAGAAGACTGAATTAGAATCATTTAAAACACTGCACTAACTACAACCAAAATATCTCTTTTTATAATGTGTCTTAATATGTGCTGAATTGTTGATAAAAAAAAAATCTGCCAGGAAGGGAGATGCTTGTGTCAAAGTGTTACAGTTCAGGAATTTCTTTTCTTTTCTCCCTAAATACGTCTGGTACTCGGGTCAACATCTGTTACTTAAAAAAACAGAGTGGATATATTTAGCAGAGGAACAGCTGGGTGATAATATCCAACCTCCTGGAGCATTAGACTTTAAAAACACAGGCTGTCCTCTGTAAAGTATTTTCCTAGGAATCAACAGTTTAAACTATTGCTTGGGAAAATTACATAGAAACTACTGGTTCACTGCATTATGATCAAGCATACACGAATGCCAAGCAGATCACAATTGTCACTCTGTAATCCGTTACTTGACGCAGTCCTGCCTTTAGTAGTAGAGGAGCAGAGCCAACAGGAAAGCTGCCAGGTCCCAATGTTCTGTGTTTTCATTAGCAGGGTTAACTAGAGCTAAGTCACTGTGTGTACAAGGCTGGAGGCAGGCTTTAAAGAGCTGCGTAGACAGCCAGTCAATGCATGTGCTGTGTAGTGTTGGGCATTTTGGCTCGTATCTCGCCCTGCTGCGATAATCACCTGAGAAAAGAGAACATCTTTTTCTGAGAGGTCACGCTAACATCTGATTTGTCACATGGGTTAGAGCAGGAAGATGAAAGAAGAAGTGGAGAAGGAAAAAAAACACAAGAAGAAGGGAAAAAAGGTCAGGAGCAAATCAAAGAAAGCCAAAGAGAAGATGAAATGAAAAAATCAATACAGAGAAGTACAAAAAGCCTCAAATTTGTTTTGTTCAACAAGCAAACTATCTGCTTCTCTAGTCTGATGTTATTGGTAATTTCAGGGTCTAAAAAGTTGCTTCAGTTTCCATAAACACAAACAGTGAAACACCATTAAGAGTTAAAAACAGTCCAAATTCTTTCAGCTCCAATAAAAAGATTAATGTGGCTCCCAGGTGTGACAATAAACTTTAACATCTAGTCATCCTTAAAAAAAAGGATCTATGATGTTTAGAGGGGCTAGAAGTTTGGTCCCAGTAACACGGTCCAGGTCTAAGGACCAGTTGGTGAACATCTGGCAACCACTGGTCGTTAAGCAAAAAGTGTGTATTCCTCTGGGATTATGTATTCCCTGAGTGCTATTAACACAGGCCTTAATGCCAGTCACCATCCCCCCCAGCAACTGCTGGTTACCAGAGGAAATTATGTAGTGGTTGCTGGCAGTTGCTAGTGTGAAATTGATCGCAAACAGCAAAAAGCCGGCAATCACTTGCTAACTAGTTGGGGAATGCACACCTATTTATGCCACCTATTTGAGGTTATAAGATGATCGCTGATTGGTTTCTGGGTTTGTGTGACTGAGGCCTTGACAGGAAGCCAGCTAGCTAGCTAGAACTTTGCTATAAATTGCTATAAATCTGGAAGTAAATGAAGATGGAAAACCAAATATCAGTGATGTTTGGAGGGTTAGTGAAGTTGGGTTATAGTTGGTTAGTAGGAGAGCTTTGGTTAGACTAATATAAACTATTGCTAATATAAACTAACGCGGCAAACCGCCGTTAGCGAGTTATGGTGGATTGCCAAGTTAATGCAGTTATGGCGTTAACGTCATTTTAACGAGATTAACACTGACAACACTAATATAAAAACATGAGCACTGGGTAGGATGAAGGTTAAATTGTCTTCAATAAACGTAAACGCTGAGGGTCCTTGATTGGCACATTCAAACGCCATCATATAACAGGGAGGAGACACCAAAAATGGACTTTTTCGTACATCTGAGATGAGCCCATCTGCAACATAAGGTTAGTCATTACCATGTTGATTGGTTTGGATTACTGGCTATGAAAAAGTCCTTAATGGTCTAAACCTTAGTAGGCCTCTGTGTGATTATTCCATAAGCTCTTCAATGTTTTGTTTCCAAGGCTGTAGTGTGCACTGTAATTTTTAAAATCTCAGTCGAATGATGTGCTACGCATGAATAGCGCCAATAAAAAGTAGAGGCAGAGAATGATGACCAAATACGGGGCTTGAGTCTACAAGAAAAACAACAGAGCAGCATGTTAAAAATACAAGCGTCTCATCCAACACAGCAAACGCTTTGACTTGGAGAAAGTGTTGTTATCGCATTGCTTAACAAAAAGATTGCCAGCACCATAGCCCCAGGAAATTAAAAGTATTATTTGATCTGCAGAGATGAGACTCTGTATATCTTTTACTCTTTTTAACCACAATGGCAAGGTGGCAGTTCAAAAGAAATGTGGAGGAAATCAAAGCAGAAAGTCACGGGTCCCCTCAGAAAATTCAAAGGCTTGAAGAAATATGAAACCTTCCTCCATTTCTGCTGAGAATGGAAATCACGTTTAGAACTGGATAATATCTGATCCGGCAAAAATAATCAGATTTCATACTACTTCACACCGAAGGCCAAGTGGACTCAGACTCAAAAGAGCAGGCTTTCATGGACTTAACTAAATACTCCAAAAGAGGGGTGTGAGGAAGCACACATGCCACAAATGTAGATCAAAGATCCAAAAACCAATCCATAATATCCAAAAGTTCCAGATTCAAATCCCTTTTCCACTTTGTTTGTACCCAGAAAAACACAATTATAAAAAATAATGTGTGCAAATGGGGTTCTTCATTTTGTTAGTCTAACTTTGTTAGTTTCTTTGTGTTTTTGGTTTAAATGTAATCATTTGTTGCAAAAAAAATCCCAAACATATTGTAGATGATACTTATAGCTCTACTAAAGAAGTTAAACTTGCAGTTTGTTCATTCATTATTCACTTGCGGTTATAAAAACAATGAAGCACCAGCTAAGTGAAACTTCCAGGATTTAGAGTTCATTCCTGATCCACTCGTTCTTTTTAAACAGTGTTTCAAGTATGTGTGGCCATTAGTGGTTAGTGGTGGTAAAAGCCACTGGACTCCAGTGGTGTATGTGGTTATGTAGCTTCAGCGGACAGAAGGGACATTGTGTTTGATGATAATATTTAGCGTAACAGCCTGTGGGGAAACACATTCACAGTTTATAGCCGCAGACGGGATCGTGTTTACCCACTTCTATGGTTTGGGGTTTCATGAACTCACCTCGCTCTTTTTTTTCCTTTGAAAAGGAGTCAAACTTCCTGCGCAGAGATTTTCTTCGCTTGTGAGTTTCTGTGGGAAGAAAGAAAAGGTCACAGTCAATACAGTTTGTGGTGCTCAAGTATGTGTTTGCTTTAGTTTGAACAATGAAGTCTGTGTCACAGTCGGTCTGGGATGTCTGTCTTTTGTTACTGTTGTACATCAATGAGATGTGCCCATCACCAGCTTTTATCTGTACATGAACCCAAATACTACCATCCATCCATCCATTGTGTACTCCTTACTATAGAGTGAATTAATTTAGTTTTACTTCATTTCCACTGTAGATTTGCTTTTTGTTTCAGCAGTCTGTATTAAATAGAAAAAAGTCTTTATTTCTGAAAATTATTTAGTTTTTGTAATTTTTCTATTAGTTTTAGATTTTTTTCTCTTTTTATAATATGATGTGTGTTGATCAGGGAAAGAGTTACAAAGTTCAGAACAAGTTTCATGACCCACGGAGAGAACACTAAACTCCCAAAAAAACTGTGTATCTAAAACCCAGCATTTAAAATTTTTAACTAAATAAATTTCTAACAGTGTTACAGCATTATGTAAAATTGTCACAATTTTTAATGTACTAATTTCTGATTATGAATAATTATGAATTTTCCTTTTCTGGTGGGTTTTTTAAAACCTGATTGGTGTATTGACTGTCCTCGTCTGCTTCCCTGTATATAAAAGAAGTATTTCATTGGGACATTAAATTAGATTTAGGCTTTAAACAGCACTCGTTTGGATTTGTGTACATGAACACGAACTAATTAATTATATTTTAATGAGTCAAAGGAGCTTGCAAAGAAAAGCGTCTGGACTTCTTTAAGTTGCTTGAAGACGTTTCACCTCTCATCCGAGAAGCTTCTTCAGTTCTAAGGTCAAATGGTGGAGAGTCCCAGATATAAACCTAGTGGGAGTGACCCCCCACAGAGGGACAAAAGGACCCCTGATGATCCTCTAATCGCCTGAGCCAAGGTGTGAAACTGGGTGTGGGTCCCAATCAGCCAGAGTTTCGGGTGTGTTCATTGTGAAACCTGGCCCCACCTTATCATGCGAATTCCTGAGGTCAGATGGCCCAGGATGTGAGTGGGCGTTAAGGCGTCTGGGAAGGGATCTCAAAACTGGATTGTAGATGGCAGAGAGTTGGTGTCGTAAACCCCCGCCTCTGTTCAAAGATGGTCGCTCACAGTGGACATAGATGGCTTCTTTCACTCCTCTTTCAAACCATCTGTCCTCTCTGTCCAAAATGTGAACATTGGCATCCTCGAAAGAGTGTCCTTTATCCTTAAGATGCAGATGGACTGCTAAGTCTGTGTTTTGGAGTTTTGTCTTTCGGGTGAACCAGTTTTTGTCTGAGCGTGTTGCTGGGTCTGAAATGCACCGGGATGTCATGCTTGGATAGGGATGGGTATCGAAAACCGTTTCTTGTTGAGAACCGGTTCCCACTGTTTCAATTCCTTGGAATCGTTTGCAAAAATGGCAAACGATTCCCTTATCGATTCCAGTCGCCCCGAATGACGTCACCACGTTGCGGAGCGTCATTTACCTGGCAGGAAACATGGCGCCTAAGCGGCTCAAACGCTCAAAAGTTTGATTATACTTTATGAGAACCGATGACAACAGGGCAACTTGCAAAGTAGATATTTCATTTAAGGGAGGAAACACTACGAATATGCAAAAGCATTTGCTCACAAAACACGCGATGACACGCGTTTTTAATTCCGCTCCGGACTCGTGACTCTCAACCCAGCAGCAGCGCTAACGTTTGCACGTCCTCTCCCGTTAATGCGGCAGGTAAATAATCAACTAACAGTGCATATTATGTTAGCGCAATCTGCCTTATTACAAGACCTGCCATTACTGTACATGTAGGTGACCATGATGAGAGAGACAGGCAGTTCTCGCTGCAGTCTACCGGTAGTGTCTCCTTTCAGGCCAGGATAGACTAATGTCACCGAGCAGTGTCTAAGTTTGTGGTCAAAGGCTTGCACCCATTTGCCACAGCAGATGCCCCCGATTTTTGGTAAGTGAATGTGTTTAATTGTAGGCAGGGACATTACTGGATATTCTTGTGTAATTGCCACAGAACAATTTATGTTATACTTTGTTATTGCTACAGAAGAATGTTGCAGCTTTAAGGCAGGGATGACTCCTGGAGTTGCTTTCTCACTGCATATGCTTTATTTCACAATCAGATCGATTCGATAACAAAAACATACAGCAGCTCCTCTCCTACTCCTAGCCCTTCGCTGCGGTGGAAAAAAGAACGACTTCAATCCCCTTCAAGGAACATACGTACAAAATAGTTTTCCTGATGGGGCGTTCAATGCCATCTTGTAAATATGAGTACTCTGGCAGAGTAACAGTTCAAATGAAAAATACACCAGAACAAACAAGCAAACAAAAAAAGAAGTGTGGGGTACCTTTGAACCAATGAACAAAGTATAACAATTTATACTTTTTAACATAACCCGACCCCGTCAATATGTGATATGTCTCACAAGAATATTTATTTTATTATTTTACATTTACAATTTTTTTTCCTGGGGACCCTGTGACACCCCATTGAAGAGCCGTAGGCTGGATCTCTCAAGATCTCACTGTTGGGTTTGTAAGGCCATGTTACTCCTAAATTTCTATCTTGTTCAAAGAGAAGATATAAAACAAAGCTCTGAGCTAATCGACCTTAGTGTTCTCCTTTTTTAAAAAAAAAAAAAGAATCGATAAGAGAATCGATAAAGAATCGAATCGTTAAACAGAATCGAAAATGGAATCGGAATCATTAAAATCTTATCAATACCCATCCCTATGCTTGGAGAAAACTCTCCTGAGTTTCTCTGATACACCGGCTACATAGGGGATGACAATGTTGTTGCGTCTGTCCTTCTTATCCTCCCTCGCTGGTGTCTGGTCTTCTTTTCTGTGCCTCTTTGCTGACTTTAAAAACGCCCATTTAGGATAGCCGCACGTTTTGAGTGCTTCCTTTACATGTGTGTGTTCCTTCTTTTTTCCTTCAGGCTTAGAGGGAACATGTTCTGCCCGGTGGTGTAGGGTCCTAATTACTCCAAGTTTGTGTTCCAAAGGGTGATGGGAGTCAAAGAGGAGGTACTGGTCCGTGTGTGTGGGCTTCCAGTAAACTTAGATGTTGAGTTTGCCGTTCTCTTCAATGTGCACAGCGCAGTCCAGGAAAGGCAAACAGTTGTCCTTTGTGTCTTCCCTGGTGAACTTGATGTTTTTATCCACAGCGTTAATGTGCGCAGTGAAGGATTCCACTTCTTGTGTCTTGATTTTGACCCAGGTGTCGTCCACATATCTGTACCAGTGGCTGGGTACTCTTCCTTTGAAAGAGCCAAGAGCCTTCCTTTCCACTTCCTCCATGTAAAGGTTGGCTACAATAGGTGACACGGGGGAGCCCATGGCACAGCCATGTTTTTGTCTGTAAAAGCCTTCGTTGTACTTGAAATATGTAGTGGTGAGGCAGAGGTCTAACAGTGTGCAGATCTGATCGGGTGTGAAGTTGGTCCTGTCCTCCAAGGAGCTGTCTTCTTGTAGTCGTTTTCTGACAGTCTCCACGGCCTCTGTGGTGGGTATGCAAGTGAAAAGAGAGACTTCACCGACAAGGTCCAGAAACTTACCCTGGATCCAGATGAAACCATGGTGTCCTTTGATGTAGTCTCTCTTTTCACTTGCATACCCACCACGGAGGCCGTGGAGACTGTCAAAAAACGACTACAAGAAGACAGCTCCTTGGAGGACAGGACCAACTTCACACCCGATCAGATCTGCACACTGTTAGGCCTCTGCCTCACCACTACATATTTCAAATACAACGAAGGCTTCTACAGACAAAAACATGGCTGTGCCATGGGCTCCCCCGTGTCACCTATTGTAGCCAACCTTTACATGGAGGAAGTGAAAAGGAAGGCTCTTGGCTCTTTCAAAGGAAGAGTACCCAGCCACTGGTACAGATATGTGGACGACACCTGGGTCAAAATCAAGACACAAGAAGTGGAATCCTTCACTGCGCACATTAACGCTGTGGATAAAAACATCAAGTTCACCAGTGAAGACACAAAGGACAACTGTTTGCCTTTCCTGGACTGCGCTGTGCACTTTGAAGAGAACGGCAAACTCAACATCTAAGTTTACCGGAAGCCCACACACACGGACCAGTACCTCCTCTTTGACTCCCATCACCCTTTGGAACACAAACTTGGAGTAATTAGGACCCAACACCACCGGGCAGAACATGTTCCCTCTAAGCCTGAAGGAAAAAGAAGGAACACACACATGTAAAGGAAGCACTCAAAACGTGCAGCTATCCTAAATGGGCGTTCTTAAAGTCAGCAAAGAGGTACAAAAAAGAAGATCAGACACCAGCGAGGGAGGATAAGAAAGACAGACGCAACAACATTGTCATCCCCTATGTAGCCGGTGTATCAGAGAAACTCAGGAGAGTTTTCTCCAAGCATGACATCCCGGTGCATTTCAGACCCAGCAACACGCTCAGACAGAAACTGGTTCACCCGAAAGACAAAACGCCAAAACACAAACTTAACAATGTGGCGTATGCTGTACAGTGCAGCGAGGAATGCTCAGACCTCTACATTGGAGAGACCAAACAGCCACTTCACAAGCGCATGGCACAGCACAGAAGAGCCACCTCCACAGGACAAGACTCAGCAGTCCATCTGCATCTTAAGGATAAAGGACACTCTTTCGAGGATGCCAATGTTCACATTTTGGACAGAGAGGACAGATGGTTTGAAAGAGGAGTGAAAGAAGCCATCTATGTCCACTGTGAGCGACCATCTTTGAACAGAGGCGGGGGTTTACGACACCAACTCTCTGCCATCTATAATCCAGTTTTGAGATCCCTTCCCAGACGCCTTAACGCCCACTCACATCCTGGGCCATCTGACCTCAGGAATTCGCATGATAAGGTGGGGCCAGGTTTCACAATGAACATACCCGAAACTCTGGCTGATTGGGACCCACGCCCAGTTTCACACCTTGGCTCAGGCGATTAGAGGATC